AAACTTCCTCCAGCTCCCTTCCCCTCTTTTTTTGTGAGTAGGATATAACGTAAACCACTGAATTAAATTGGTCTCGCCTAACTGATCGAAAATATGAATCTCAGAATTTCCTCGTTCTTCATCACAAAAATCACGGGTCACATCTTTTTGCAAAGCGCTATAACGTGTCTAGAAATAAAAATTTCTCAAGATTCCCCATTATATTCAGATTCTGCAGTACTTCCTCTAGTAGTACAAAAAAAAGTTTGATATTACTTTGTCACAATAACTACCAAGTTCTAGTGTACTACTAAAAGTGATGCTGATGAATCGAAATATAATGGGGAATCTTGAGAATTTTTTGTTTCTGTCATTTTAAATAGATTGATTCGTGAGAAAGTGAGATTTCTGTGTGATGGGCGATCATTTGATGAACACAGTAATTTGAAAAGCGCAGTAATTACACATAAATTGATCAATAAAAATTGGTGTTCTAGATATATATTTAATGGTTTATCTTGCCAATAATGTATGTGCTTATTCTAATTGCAGAATTATGTGCTTATAGAAGAGGTGACTGTAGGGAGGTCTGAATGTACTCTTAATACACATAAATGAATGAATTTGGGTCAAAATCCCGAAAAACGGATTCCCGAAAGAACATAATACTGACAAAGTTAGCTAGCACTAGCTATAATGCTGGCCAATTTAGTCGGTGTTATGTTCTTTCGATAATCTGTTGTTCGGGATTTTGACCCAAAACTAAATGAATCATTTTTTGCGGGGTTGATTTATTTAATTTTACGTGTATTATTTATATGAAAGATAAATGTCTTTATTTTGCTTTTTGGCCCAATTTTTATTTTTATAAAGGGACCATTTTCACATATATAAAACTCTGATCGAGAGTTTTTAGAATTTCAACTGGGAATCATTGTATAGTAAGGTTAGGGTTAGGATTATTTGGGGTGCCTCATATTAAAAGGTCCCATTTTGAAAATTTTTTTTAAATATATATATATATTCAATAAAATGTTTGCTACAAGTAACAGAAGCAAATTCTGGAATCATCATTTAAATTCGATTTACTCAAAATGGGCCCTTTTAATATGAAACACTCCATATAAACAACATGAGGTGTGGGCCAAATTGATGTGATTGGCTAGTTGCTGATTAAAATCAAACCACATCAAATTGGCCCACACCTTATATTTGTCTCTACATTAATTATACAAGATATCTGTCTAATTATTATCGTCATGAATTCCCTGATTCTATCTGTCGAATTTGAAAAATTTTATGGTTAAATTAAATTTAAAACTAAAATTGTATATTAAAATCTTATCTAGTGTTTGGACCCGCCCAAAAAATCATAACCCAGGTGACCCGTCGGGTGAACCCGCAGGTCACCCGGGTTGATCAATAGGTCCACCTGGGTCATGGGTGACCCGTTTGACCCGGGTGGGTTAATCGACGGGCATATATGATTGGTCAATCAAAACGTGATATGCGACATAGTCTAATAAATATGTATGAAAAATAGTACGTAATGCTTTCAAATGCTTTCTCTAATCTAACAGTTTAATAGTTGGATTTATTAGTTTTTGTAATTCTTGGTTAATTTTTTCATTTCTTTTGCTTATATTTGGCTTATTTCCTCTTCTTAGAAAAAGCGAGCCATTAAGAGATTCAATTTTAAAAGATAAGCTTCATTAACTATATGTACTTTCAAAATTACCATAATAATGCTTGACATATTATACTTACATACTAATTAATAGGTTTGTTATATTACAGGTTACAAATTAAAAAAGTGTTGAAATCTATATAAAAAGTACAAAATATTGGCAAAACCAATACATGTAGAAAATTTTTGCATAGATCAGTCTCTTGTTCACTTCCAAAGCTTCAAATAAAAGTTTTTCGATCTCAGGATTATCCATAGTTCTATTTATATATAGATGAGTGAGCGTATTATTTATTTTTAGACATTCGCTAAAAAGCTTCTATTTCATCTAAAAAGAAATCTCTATCACTTATATTTAGTCTAGTAAGCGATCTATTTGTCTCTAAAGCTTTCAACAAGTTACTCATTGAACAAAAATTGTTACTTAGATTTAGATCAAAGAGTGTTTTATTTGTTTGTAAAGCATTTTCTAAGGCATTTACTATATTATTACTATGCCGACACCAGTAACTTGGTACACATTCAAGAGGTGCGACATGTAAATACTAGATAAAAAGTGAATATGATTTCTTTATTTAAAATATATAAAATTGCTAATACATGATTTATTATTATATTAAACCCAAACATTACAGTAAATACTATTTTGTTTAACAAATAGTAATTTGCTAACTATTTCAGGTGATAAACGGTTCCTTTTAGGAGTAATATGATTTCTCGCATCCGAAAAAAGGCATTCACTTGGAACAGAGGCTGCAGAAATGAACAAATATTTACGTGCTATTTTACTGAGGATGGGAAAGAAAGATTGTTTAGTGTGCCAAAATTGATAAACATCGGCATCTTGAGATAGAATTTGTGTGATTGATTCATTTAGGTAATTGTCAATTTCAATTTCATGGTTAATTTGTTTTTGACCTTGACTAAAAACTTTTTTCATAAAAGAAGGAGTTGATATAGAGAATGCTACAGCATGCTTAGCCACCTTACTGCCTGTAGACATATTTTCCCAGGTTTTAAATTCAGTACATAGCATTTTAATTGTATCACTCCGTATTATATCTGACCATGTTGTCATTTGCTTTAAACATGGATCTAATAAAGTAGCAATTAACCCAATATCCTCTGGATTTTCCCAATAATGTTGAAGAGAGTCATAAATTACTCCTCGAATATTTGCAATTATTTGTTCATTTGAAGGTATTTCTTGTTGCATGCCCTCATCCACAGATATATTATCACTATCATCATCATCGTTATCAGACAATATATCATCTAAAACTCAAAATATTTATTTATTTATTTATTTTATTAGGTTAAGTTAAATTTTATTTTATACTTACCACTGTTAAGCATTTGTTCAAGTCTATCTAATGATAACGTATTACCATTAGCAAACTCAAACTTTAATGCCTCAATACTTGAATTAACAACTGAGAGAGTTGTGTATTTGTTCCACTAAAGTAAGTTGTTAATTCTTTAAATGGTTCAAGTATTTTGACTATTTCCTTTAGTAAATTCCATTTATTTTCTTCAGGTATGAGAAGCTTTAATTTGTGAGAATCTTCTTTAGCTTCAACCTCATTTAGTAAAGATAAAGTTGCGGAAAGCTATTCAATTGCATCATGCAAGACCAAAAGCTGTTTCCACGACTGATAAGTCGAATTCTACCGAGTTTTTGTATTATCAATAGCATGTAAAATCTTTAATTCTTTTTTTTCAATTATTTTTAAATTATTATCGTTTTCCATTTCTTCAGTTAAATTTTCACTTGAATCTCCAAAATCGTGTAAGAAAATAGGGCTTACATTGGTACTGTTTTGTTGAGATAGATTTATTTGTACTTGATAAAGGTGTTGACTTTGTTTAGGTGATCAGAAAAACTTTACAAGCTTATGGACTCATTTAGTATACAGTTCAATGACTTTTAAGGCACGATTTACGGTGAGTTGAAGTGTGTGAGAGAGGCGTTCTACACCGTCCAAAGTTCTAATAGCTTTTTTCATATTTGCTCTATTGTCTATTACTGCACAAAAGATTTTTTCAGATAATTTATATTCTTTTATTTTATTATCTAGATATTCTTGTATTCTTTTGCCTGTATGAGGATGATACATCCTCTCGATAGCTAATATCGTATCGTGTACTTCAAAATTTGGAGTTAACTAGTAAAGTGTTACTTCAATATATCCGTCATTATTGCGAGATGTCCATAAATCTGTTGTTATAGAAGCAGTTTCGCAAGTATTAGAGATTACTCTAAGCTCTAACACTCCTTTTTGATAAGCCGTAATAAGGTCTGTTTTAATACTTTTATAACTTGGTGGTATAAATGCTGGATCAATACAACTCATCATTTTACAATAACTTTTTCCATTGACAACGTTGAACAGCAAAGAATCAGTAACCAGCCACTCAGTGGTGACCCTCTTTAATTTTACTTGTTTGAATGCACGATGTGGTGTTACTTTTCTTAACATTTCATCGATATGCATCTGAGATTTTTCACTCGGGTTTACTTGCGGATTTTCATCTGGTAACAAGATTTCATGCTTTACTAGGAGATGTTGTTTCATATTTCCAGTTCTACTATCATGTTTATAATTTCCTGTATATTGAACTTCTTCACTCTTATCAAATACTATTATTTTGCAAACGTCACGTCCGTTTTCAACTTCGAAGTAATTCCAAATATACGACTTTTTGGCCGTGGAATTATTCGACTTAGAGAGTTTTACTTTGATTTTTTTTGTAGCTGGTTTACTTGAATATTCATCTGTTTCTTCTATCTCGACAGGTGTATTAGAAGGCTCATTAATTTCTTGATTGTTATAAAAAGATTCATCAATGTTTTGAATATCATCATCATAAGTATGATCCATATTGCGGCTAGTTAATACAGTCAACAAAAAATATTTCAAGTGGTGGGTTATTTTATATTTATATTGTATAGAGATATTAATTTAATTACTAAAACAAATTTTTTTAATTAAAGCAGTAGATATCAAGAATTGTTCACTAACACGAAATTTAATTTTATTAAGTCAAAATTTTACTTCTTATATACAAAATTGATTTACACAAAAATTTGTACATTTCAATCTAAT